AAGCTTGATAACCTTACTTATCATTTAAGATTTAGGAAGAAATCGAAAAAGGAGATAAACATCCTTTTTATCGCGGACTAATTATTATTACCAACGCAAAGATGTTACTTCCTCTTGTTTTCGTTAGCAATTTAATAATAAGACGTGTGCATTTAAATTGAAAAAGAAAAGAAGCTCCTTTTTTGCCGATTAATTATCGGCAGATGAGCGTTATATTTCACGCTCGTTAACGATGAAAATCATGCGATTTTACAATCATTTGTTAGATTTCATTTAAATATAATTTTATTTTAACTAATTGTAAGATAAAGCCAAGTTATTAATCAAAATCAAATGATTAAAATTTTTATAGTATATATATATATATATATATATATATATAATATATATATATATATATAATTTATAAAAAAATAATTATACTAAAATAATTAATGTAACATTTATGTCATTTATTATTATATTATCAGAAAATATCATCTCACATGTCATATCATATTATACGTCAGATAATTTAATTGATTAATTACTTGGTCTTACATTAAGTTAAAGTAAAAAACAGTTTCTACATCAAATTCTACAATATAATGATTGAGCTATAAAATATTAGATTAACATTGATGCATGTTATAAAAATAAGTTAACATCACATGTAATTATTAAAATTATTAGTATCCTTTAAAATTATTATACTTATATTATTTATTAATTAAATTAGATAAAGTATGATAAAATTCTATTAATTAATTAAAATTATTAGTGTTCTTTATTCAATAAATTAAATGTAAAATCTAATACAAATCTATACAAATTGAAAAACATCTTTTCTATTTCTTCTTTAATTTATATTTTAATTTATGCAATAGATGCAATGCATATCGGAAAGAATTATTAAAAGTTATTTAATCTTATAGCTCATCCATTTTAAGGCAAAGAATCTTTTTATACAATCTATAATCTACAATCTATCTTTATAATCTCTATAAATCTGTTACTTTAAAATTAAATAAAATTTTATTTGTCACTCACCAACATTGGTGTAGAACAGCGGAGTTGTTGACATCGATGCTCGTCTGCAACATACAAATATAAAATCCGAATTATAACAACGCTTAATATAATTCATATTTCAATTATTATTATGCCGAATTTTATATCCAATGTGTAAAATAATAAGATATATAGAAAGTATGAAAAAAGTTTATAATTAAATTCTAAAACTTATTTGTAAATAAAAACTTAAGTATGTGATTTTTACAAAAATTTTCTTCTCTATTTTTCTCTTGTTTATTTAATTTATTTAAATAATGAAAGCAAATTATTGTGCATATGATTTATAACAATTAATATACAAAATATAATAAATATTCACCTTCAGGTTGCTCCGCCGATGCAGGATGCCTCTCCTAGGCCTGCTCCTCCTCTCAGATCACCAGGGTTGCTGCGTCGATATCTATAACATATAAATAGATGATCTAAATTGTAATAGTGTCCAAAATAATTAATATTTCAAAAAATTATTAGTATGCATACAGTATATGAATTTTATATTCGATGCATATAATAATAAGCAGATTAATCAAATATAAATTTTGAAAAAAGGACATTACTAATAATTCTTTAATAACTTTATAAAAGTTCATGCCCTTACAAGATTACAGTTTTTATAAAAATCTTTTTCTTCAATTTTTTCTTATTTAAATCTTATTTAAATTTAAAATAATGTAATAAAAATTAAATTATGTTATTAATTGCTTAATTTAAATTACGCTGAAATACTGTATAATTTATTTTGATATAGTTACGTATCATTTAACGTATATAAAGGATAATTAATCATCTTCATATTAATCATCATCATCATCTACTGGCTCTGCAGCCCAAATCAAGCTTTGGCCTCTACAGTGATTTCGTGACAATTGCTTTTTTAGATGAGGTCGTCAGCCTCAAGTTAAACCTTTTCCAAAGGGAGAGTTCGTCTTTTGATCTCTCTCTTTCATGTGTTGCGCACCATATTATCACACATATATAGAACCTACAGTTTAATGCCGATTCCGAACGGCTACATTAGAGAGATATTTCTCGATGATTTGCTATTGCCTTCTGAAAAAGGAGCGAGCGTATACAATCCGAGGCTTTTGGCTTTATAGACACGTTTCGCTCTACCTCATATTAATCATATTAATAGCAAATTTCCCGATACTTGTCGTAATGCATTTAGAAAAGGAATACGTCGGAATACGTTATATGTCGGAAAGATTGAAGATCAAATATTAAATATTAATGAAGATAAAATATTAATGAATATAATTACTACTAAAGAAATATTAAAGTATATTATAAAATATTAATGTATCTCTATTTCCTATATAAGAATCTTTTATTATAGATATTTTAAGTATTTAAAATTAAATCCTGAAACGTGTTTTATATATACACTACGTTATACGATAATTTAGAATAGATCACTATCGAAGAAATAAAAAACGTACAATGTGTATTTGGAAAATGAAAAAATAATAAATATGAATATATAAACTACTTACGGCATCCGTTACTCCGAGCTGTTGCTCAATACTTTTTCAAATCTTCCTTTTCTCCCCTTTGCTGTTTTCTCATGGCACTTACACTCGCGAAAACATGTTTAATAATGATTAATCGAGTACGCGGAACACTTTGCACAGCACTTTTGATCGCGAAATAATCACACGAGAGAGAGAGAGAGATACGATATATTATTATATTATAAAAGACTAATTCGAAAAGTACGATTCATTCGATGTTTATGTGAGATTAAAATCATACATCACTTGTAATAACAATGCTATCATCTATGTATACATATCTAAATAATACGAATTGTAAGACCAAAAGATTAAAATAATAAAAATTTGTGATATAGTAATCATTTAAAAATTAATTCATGCTCGCATTTTAAAGCATCGGATAAAATATATTTGACTCTAAGCATTGTTAGAGATTTTATCACACACATCTGTAAGGATCGTAACCGATAATTAAATAATCGTACTTCGATAAAAATTTATGATAGCGATATAGTTTCGTATCATTTATTATAAGTTAATTAATCATTAATACGTAATAATCATAGCGAATTATGTTTTGATATTAAACGCGATCGTGTTTCGTAAAAGAATTCGATAATATGAAGCGTTTCGAATCACTACTGTACTGCCCGAATGTCGCTGTGCGAATGATAGCAAGACCGCAGCATGTAAACAACGCGCTAGGCCGCCAAGGCCGAACATGATGACGTCATCACCGAAGTATTTTACGTATTATGACATACGTATACACGAAATATTAATTATATAAGCATTTTAAAATAAATAAATTACAAATATTTATTAAATAATATACATTTTGATGCTATATATATTATTATGCTTTTTAAATAATCGATATTAATATAAATAATTTTATTATAATTATTAAACATTTTTTTGCTAAACTGATAAAAAATAAGGAAATGAAAAATATATATATATAATCAATTTTGTAGAGAGTACATCTCACAACATCTCTGATGGCCTTCTCGTACTACATTTATGATCCACTAAGTAAATTTTACCTTATCAACAAAATTTAATTTCTTCATTTCTTGATAAATAAAATAAGAAAATGCTTAACCAATTATTTTTGTACATTTAATTAAAGATTAACTGTTAATTAATTAAAAATAACTCGAGAACTTATTTATTTACAAAATCCGACGTATCTTGTGAAAGTCTTTTGCCGACTGTATGGTTGGAAAAGCTTTAATCATGTTAACAGCTTTCAGTAAAAGGAGGAAGCTTCCGTATCAGCTGCAAGTATTCAGGAAAACATGCAACATACTTACACAATATATATTAAAATGTAAATTAATTAGTTTATAAATAAAAACACGTGAACAAAAATATATAAATAAACAATTCTAATGATTTCTCAAATTGATTAGATTATATATTGTCTATTACGAGACGTCAAGAATAAATACAACACGTCGATAAGTTGAATTTTTATTAGATAGCTAATTTTTTTGTTTACATGTATGATAATATATTATTACTACATGTTAAATATTTATTAATTGTAATGTATATCGAACGTAATATATATGTAAGTAAATTTGAAAAAGTACAAATTATACATTTTCATTCTTTTTCACTGCATAGAAAAAAGTATCATTGATTAATTTGTTTATTATATAAATTTTGCTGTTATATTAAGATTAAATTTATAATAACTTTTATGATTAAAGTTATAATAGCTTTTTATAATTTAATTTATATTTTAGTTTTTTATTATATATATTTTGCTGTTGTGATTAAATTTATAACCTTTTATAATTATTAATTAAAAAATATATAATTTTTATATTTAACTAAGAGAAGCGTCCTTTTTAATTAATAAAAAAATTATAGTTGTTTAAATTAACCTGCTTTAACAATCAAGAAATTTATGCAAACATGTACATAATTTTATATATATGTATACATATAAACAAAATTTATATATATTTATTACATAATTTTATAAATTTTATATTGCACATTTGTCAGACATGCAAGCTTATCTATGAATTACTCTAATTGGATTTGAGATGTTGGAGATATAATCCATTCATCTTTACTTTTTTACATTTTTTCATCTTATACTTATATGCTTCTTTCTTATATGCTTTTAATTTAAAAAATTCCAGATCTTTTAATTAAAATTCACATGCTTTGACACATGATACTACCGATGAAAGAGAGTAGGGCTTAATCAGTTAGTCGATAAACAAATTGGCTTAGAGACACACGGCTGTGTGATGGGGTGGTTTATACAACGGAAAAGAAAGTGCAACTGAGACTAGTACGACTAGTTTTCATCTGACAAGCCCATCAGGCGTATCTACCGCGTGAATAAATCTAACTACGACGTTGCATTATTTATGAAATTTCTTTGAGTTATATATATGAATAATATGAATATATATGAATAATTAATTTTCGGAAGTCATGATTATCAAAGATATCTTGATTGAAACATTATCGAGCTGTTGATGATTAACTTAACATGCTTTAAATTAAAGCTGAAAAAAAGAAGAGGCAATAATCGAAAAGCAGGTCTGTAGCTTCCGTAATTTAGATTAATTTCTAGAAAATAATTATGATATATATTAATTTTTTTTATAAAAATTAATGCAACAATGCAACATTCTCAGTTGATATTAAAAGTGACATAAAGAGTATTATTTCTATAGGCCAAATATATTTATTAAAATCATTTATTTATTTATTTAATAAAGTTAATATCTAATCGTTTATAGAATCAGAAACATATAATATCGTAAATACGTATTTGTGATCAAATTTTTGACATCTTATCTTTAGAAACTGTGCAGCATTTAATACAGAAATATATTCTTACCGAAATATAAATTTTATGTATATTTTCTTATTTTTTTATGTTATATAATTATTTTATATCATATACAAGAAAAATTTTTTTATTTTTTGAATAAAAAATTAATAACAAATTTCTTTACTTTTATCTTAAATTTTTTTAAATTCTTATTTTCTACTATAAAATACATATATTTTTTATAATTTTTAATTTAAAACATTTTATATTTTAAATTAATTTAAAATATATTCATTTAAAAGTATTTCACTGGTGAGTATATGAAATATATTCTTTGAAAAGTTTTTCACTTAAATGATTTCACTTAATTGATTTATTCATATCTTTATAAGACACTATCTAGTAACGTTATCTTAGATATACAAATTAATATGTCAAGTTTGTTTTAAAAGATGTACTTTATATAAGTAATTTAAAACAATTCCTAAAGCCAATTTATGCTTTTATTATACATCTATATTCGTAGATAAATTTTTTTAATTGGTAAATCTCATTTTTTTAAGTGTTTAAAGTTCTGTAAGTAATCCTTTATGATTTTTTATAAAATTGTAAATTTATTTTAACCAAACTAATCAGGTTTTATTATTTAAGGATTATTATAAATGGAGAAATATCATTCAAAAATTTGTGAGGCAAAATATCTCTATTGTTAAAGAATTTTGTTAAAAATTTTTTTGATAAAAGTTATTAAATTATAATTTTTATGTTAGACTTTCATTTAAATTTTCAATATTCATTTATGAGAACGACTATAGATAATTTAAAGGATTCATATATATTAATCGATGATTAATATTGACAACATGATTCATTAAAGTTCTTCGATCTGCAACAATGGTTTTTTTCATGAAACATTTTATTTCGTTTTTCATGAAACGTTCAGATGTAATTCAGATGCTCATTAATTCACGAGGAACCGGAAGTGATCAAGATCCGGTAGAGGAGAATTTTGGACGAGCGGGTGACAGCTTCCGCTCGATCTTCGTCGAAAGCGTTCGCCGGATTTCCGAATGATAGAATGTGCAGCTGATCGGTGAGTGGAAAATTGAATCGGAAAACCGTTGTGCGAAGGGTCATAAAAATTTTAAAATAAGAGATGCAATGCAGGAAATTACCTGTAAAATATTATATTCTTAGATGGCAAACTAATAAAAAAATGAGACGTAAATGATAATTAATGTGTTATTTTGTAGTAAATTGATTAATTAATGTAATGTAATTTTATGATTATAACAGAGAGCGTGCCTTTATGAAACAGTCTAAAATAAACAATATGAGATTATTAAATCCTCTATTTGGATTATTTATTTATGACGACAAATATTATTTTAAATATTTTTATCAAAATACGTGTACAAATTATATATTGATCATTGTTATAATAGATATAGATTTATTATTCGTATGCCTTGTACAAATTGTCTTCCTCCACATCGGAAAAATAATGAATCGTCCATTATTATTCGCTAGCACGCGACAGTATTGACAGGAATAATACAAGCAAACGAGATATTGTTAGTCAAGTTAAATCGAGTTAATTATGCAAGTATTACATTATTTTGTTGTAATACTAAGACTTGATATTCACTTAATATTCCACTTAACATGATCCTCAAAACACATCCGTTTAAAAGTATAAAAAACCTTTAATGACTGCGAACTTAAAACAGTTTCATTGATTCTTTCCGAGTATTGAATTCTTTATAGTGTACTCTACGTTGCATACTCTCATTTCTTTATAGTGTACTCTACGTTGCATGTTTGCGTTGTTCTCTCTTTACATGCCGAATGTTTGCATAACGTTTCTACAAACATTATTCGCAATAATCTTTTCCATTTGTTTCTTTTTTTAGGAATGGCAAAACATTCTCTGATGATCATATGCTTCATATGTTGCTACTTGTGCACTTTGATTGACATGACTGCTCCACATTTTCCGTGAGTACGCAATTACATTTTCTATATCGTACAGTCACACATATCTCATATCGAAAAATATTATAAAATTTATGCCGAAAATTTTAGCACAAAGAAAAAGAAGTACTTTGCATTTAAATTACATTTTTGTCGTTTAAGCTATGTTATTTTTTTTTTTAACTTTGATGTTTAAAAAGAGATTCCTAAGAATACGTATAATAGTATTTTAATGATAAGCTTAGAAAAAATTAATTAAACATAAATTATAAACAGATAAATTTCTTTAAATTGTAAAATAAATCCGTAAACTCTCTTTGCAATTTTTGTACTATAATACTTATTTTTTTATATATTGTGTTATATTTGATATTTGCACATAACATCTCTGGATTTAATAGTGAATATTGTATATATTGCGTACGTTACAATACTGCTGTATCTCAATCAATAGCTGCAATCACATCCTAATTGAACAAACAAAGTCGTGGAGTTATCAATTGTGATATCAATATATACACACATATATATGTATATATATAGCATCTACTCTCTGTAATAATAAAACTGCCGACTGACCGTGCTTGGTTTTGCAATCTGTGAATAATTTATGAGTGTCGTTGATGCTGTAATAAAAATCTCTATACCAGCGATTTCGTTGCCGAAGCTATTATTTAACTTTTAAGGTCATCGCTGTAAATTGGTCGCCATCCAAAATTAAAAGCTACAATGCAAAGTTCTTTTTTTCTTTTTTATCACGATTAGTGATTAACAATTCACCTCGTACCATTTTAGTAACGATGCAAGAATAAGAGATATGTTTGATAATAATTAATATCTTGAAGTAACTTGATGTTCTTGTCAAAATTATCAAATAAAAAATTTAGTAATGCATTAAATTACAACATTTTCGAGGAAGCTAGAAATAGACGAGAAAATTCTTGAAAGCCTTATTATGGATTATCAGCAAAACGGAATTTCACAGATTGATATAAGGCAAAACTTAAATGTATATATTTTATTCGAATCAAACAATCTCTTTAATCATTGATATATTTTTTATAATCTACATCTACGTTATGTGCTAACTACAATATATGTAAAATATAGCATAAGTAATTATTGTTAGTGAAGAAGTATTTTTTTACGATATAATATTAATTCCAATATTATTCAAAATTTTAAATATAAAAATACGTTAATCTCAAAAATTCTGAAAAATAAAAAGATTATTCTAAAAAATAAAATTTTTAGAACAATGTATAAAATTTTCCAGCCTTTTTCTATTCATTTGTGTAATTTCTTTGATTACATTAAAATTAATCTAAACAAGAATATTTAACAATATATGAAACAATATATGAAACAATACATTAAGAAAAATAAACTTTAATTACAAATAAGCTTGAATCCTGTTTCTTTATCAATATAAAATATGGCACCAAAGATTGCATGAAATGTGATTCATCACAGTCAAGATAATCTTTGATAAATAGACACGAAGAATGTGTGCACGCTGCATCCATTAGTAGGTTGCTTCTCATATCTTTTGATATTTCAGGGAGCTAGACTTCGATAAGTACGGAAAAAAGGAATCTTCCTTGTCGCTAAAGGACATTCTGCCTTTGAATCCGAAGCAGTATGATAAGCACAGAGCGCCGAAATTCCCCGGGCAACCCACTGTTGTTTATTTTCATGTGACAGTGCTTAGCTTGGATTCGATAAATGAAGAATCAATGGTAAATGAAAGACCGACATAAGCAGCATTGAGAAACTTCCTCGTTTATTAAATGCTCTTTAAAGTATCACATTTTTGCTATCTTTGTATTAAAAACTCTACTGAGTTATTTTCTCTATTAATGTTAATTATAATAAAATGTTTCTATATTTTTCAAGAAAAAGATAAAGACAATATAACATTTTATAAATGTATATAAAATGATATGAAATAATACATAAAAATTTGCCTCACACTCGTGAGTGATAAGATCATCTAAATTATAAATTATTCTTTTTCTATTTTATTTTTATATATAAATCTTTTTAATCACATAACGATTCAATAGAAAAATAACAGAAACATAATCAATCAACATTCAATAGAAACATATGATTACGCTTAAATATTACAAAATAACTTGAAAAATAACTTTGTCTCGCGAATCATTTTTCAAATTTTTTATGGACCCCAAATTTATGGCGGACGTATAGCTTGTGGAGACCAAACAAGTAAGGTTTTTCACTCGGGGTAGCATGATTATGTCACCTGGAAATAATTATGGTCGCACATAAAGCATAGCATTTGTGTTCACATTGTTTTTCCGCGGTAACAGACGTACGTGGCCGACATATTTCTCGCGCAGAGTTGGCGGGATTCTAGACTGCGGTTGCCGGAGAACATGTCCGAAGATTACAGAATACTCGACGTGGACTGGCTGCATAACATCTGGAGACCTGACTGTTTCTTCAAAAATGCAAAAAAGGTTACCTTTCACGAGATGTCAATACCAAACCATTATCTCTGGCTGTATCACGACAAGACATTGCTTTACATGTCCAAGTAAGAGCTATAAATTCTGACATTATTAAACTAAATTATTATTGATTTAGCAATAAATATGATTGTCAATAAATGTCAATTCATGATTTAACAATAAATCTGAATTTTACTCATATAAAGTATGTTTTAGAATTTATAGATAACATATTAATAACAATTAATAGTAATCAATAATAATTAATTAGAGACATTATTAGCTCGATAATTAAATATTCAAATTTGAAGATATTTATAACGCGATATATATAATATTATATAACATATTTACATAACATTTACAAATAGTTGAAATCAAATAATCAGATATAGCGTTAAATATGTAATGAAATGAGTTTCCAACTATGCGAAGATTATGTTTATTAATAGGATGATTCAAAAGAACTTTTTACCGCAATACAATTTTTTACTGCAATTATTTTCGCAGCGTTATTAAATAGCACAAAAAATAAATATAAATAAATATGAATAAATAAAATAAATATGAATAAAACAAACATTTTTCTGCAAATGAAATATTGTATAGTGTATATTTTCATAAAAAATTCAAATTAGTTTTTTAATAATAAATGACTTAAAATATAAAAATACTTGTCTAAGTCTTTTCTCTGAGAAATTTGTTAATAATATTATGATTAAAATTACAGATAATCAGAAAATGACGAGAAAAAAATAATTCCTAAAAATTATTGTAACATTTTTTGCAAACATATACATTTTTTTTCAAGAAAAAAATATGATATATATACATAAATCATAATACTTTGAAACATATTAGTTTATTCTTGTTATCATTATTATAAAAGCACTCCGCTTTGAGCGAATGAAACTATTGTAATGAAACACATACACTTTTAAGCCACGCATTAGAACCCGAAGAAAAACTAGAGTTCAGTCCATTTATTGTTAACTTAAATCGTCTTCGTAAAGTCCTATTAACTCTAAAGTTTCAACTGTTAAAATGATAAATGTGCACATGTGACTCTAATATTTCTTAAACTTTTGTAACATTTATATAAATTACTTTAAATCGGAAAGAGAAAGCAATATTTGAAATAATATTTTAAGTAAAATTTATTTTCTTACACTTACGTATAACTTTTTTCAAGTAATTGTATTGAATGTAATTATGTTTGTTAATATATAATTAGATGTTTAAATAATTGTGATTATGCAAAAGTATGTTGCATATCTTAGAGAACTTTCAATTACAATTTGAATAAATTAATTTTCTTAAATTTCTGGAATATTTTATCATTAATCAAAATATTGAAATATTAATCAATAATTTTCAAGAATACAACTTAAGTATTCAATTACGATATGTATTTTTAATTTGCACACATGTCGCGTATTTTCCTGTTATAAAAATCTCTTTATCTCGACTTTACATTTATATTCATTTGCAGACTTTAATTCAGCGTGTTGAATAGACAAGTTGTTGTCGTCCGTTCTATCAAATTTTATTGTCAATAAAATGATACAAATTTACCTTCTCTTGTTCTGAATGTTTTACATTGTTGAAAACAAAAATAGTAAAAAGTTTCAGTAGTGTTTGTCATTGTCTAAAAATAGCGCTATCGAGTAATTCACTCGGACTAGAGATTGAAATGCAATTTGATTAATGGATTGTATCACATGTCGAAAAACGCAATACTCGTTTTAGATTGACATTGGTGCTTTCCTGTGCGATGAAGTTTGAGTCCTATCCCCATGACACACAAATTTGCTCAATGATGATCGAGAGTCGTAAGTACATAAATATAAATATAAATCGTATATAATGTTATAATGTTTCTTAGATAATTTTCCAGAAAAAAATATGATAATATTTATGACACATTTTACTATTGAGATACTTATTCCTATAATTATAATTAATTATAACACATAAGATATGTAACTGATGATAGAGATATTAATTATATTTAATATAAAAATATTTAATATTCATCTGTTCCGATTCATCTGTTTAATCCGATTTTGTTGAAAACTGTATGATTTTTATAAAGCTGTTTTATTTATTTTTTATTATTTATTTAATTTTTTTATTATTATTTGATAATATCTTCGTCAACTTTTCTTACATATGATGATGGATGATTTTCTTGCAGTTTCGCACACGACTCAGGATCTAGTATTTCTATGGAACATGACGGATCCTCTTGTGGTTAATCCGCAGATCGAGCTACCGCAGCTCGACATATCGAACAACTATACGACTGACTGCACGATCGAATACTCGACCGGAAATTTCACGTGCATACAGATTGTCTTCAATCTACGTCGGAGACTGGGTTATCACTTGTTCCACACGTATATCCCATCCGCCCTGATCGTCGTTATGTCCTGGATCGCCTTTTGGATCAAGCCGGAAGCCATCCCGGCACGTGTCACCCTTGGTGTGACGTCACTGCTGACCCTCGGTAAGACCACTTCTCCTATATCCATTGCTCGCGTTAACTATTCATGATATTTACGATTAAGGTAGACTCTTTGTCGATATATAACAATAGTATGAATATCAACTAATCTGCTATTATAAAAAAATTTTAATACGAGTTCTTTGATTTTATAATATAATATAGAACTTTTAATTTCTGCAAATTTTTTTCTCTTGTTTAATTTATTGTAAGTTAAAATAAAACAAAATTATTTGCAGTAAGCATCATTATAGTTTTTTGTTTCGAAAACAGAAATAATTAGAATGTACAACACAAATAATTGACATTTGATATTAATATAATTCGCGAGAGATAATCATAAAAAGATAATCTCCAATACATAAATAAAAGATAGAGACAAGTAGTAAATTATATGCAATATATAGAATCATCAATATGAAAATCAAGGTTTAACATTTTTTCTTTCAGCTACTCAAAACACACAATCTCAGCAATCTCTGCCTCCGGTTTCGTATGTAAAGGCGATCGACGTGTGGATGTCCTCATGCAGCGTATTCGTCTTCCTGTCCCTCATGGAATTTGCAGTAGTGAACAATTATATGGGACCAATCGCGACGAAGGCCATGAAAGGCTATTCGGATGAAGATCTTCGAGAGGCCATCGATGATTTCAAGGTAAACGAGAAAAAGAGCTGTATGATATTTATTACAGCAAACTCGCTGGCTTCGCGAAATTGATAGTCGAGATAAAGCGAAATACGTGGCACCATTGCCTAAGAGTAATGCGATTTTTTTCGGTCGGTGTGATATCGCTCAATTGAATAAAAACACCTAAAATAAATGACACTACATTGTGAACCGTGACTGTGATAAATTATCGACATTCATGAAAATTATTGCAATAAATGTTAAAGTTATATCATTTTTCGTCTGGAAAGAGAAAAAGAAAAAGAGAGAGAAACATATCCAATATTACAGAAATGTGTTTCGAGCCAAATTTTTCCATTTGTAGATTATAATTCTGTTTCATGCATACGTAAAAAACTCATAAAAATTTACAAATAGCATCGGTATAATAGAAAGTGCCACTCAAAATACAGCTACTCTCTTAGACGATCACTCGTATAGTCTGGCGAGTAACTTGCCACTAGTAACTTTCCTCTTGAATAAGTTTCGAAGTTCTATTTTATTGCAAGCATTCATCCCCCGCTTCAATTCGCCAAAGCAATATCTGGTCTTTCCTTTTCTCCATGTAGTTTACGCAGACTTTGCAGTTCATCGAGCGCTATATATAGAATGCATCCTGTTTTCACTGCATCCGTTGCGCATGATATTTGCTTGTACTACTGTCCAACTGTTTACTTTCACTAGTTCTACGAAGATAAATCGTTTATACACAAAATATATGTCCTCTTTGTTGGACTAAGCTGATAAACAAAAGTTACTTCACAGTTAAGGATGTTTACTACTATTATAAAATGTGTCTTTTAATTGAGCAGATAAATTGATATCAGCATGCAATATTTGACCAAAATTTATTATTTTTATTTTATCATATAAACAGTATATTTATCATTCTTTATAATATACTGTTTATAATATACTTCTTTATAATATACTGTTATAATATACTGTTATGTTACGTGCAAATATAAAAATTATATAACATACACAAAGCTCTTGAAAATAGTTTATCTGTAAAAAAACAAATATATAAAAACATAAGTATACTCAATTTATTCCAGCAATGCAATGTAAATTCTAAAATCAATATTAAACCATATATGATTTAAAGATACATATCATTAAAAAACATATAACATTATATTAACATTGTGTTAAAAGATTTATCAGAAATTAAAATTTAATTTTTCTATCTATATTTGTAATTATATTACAATTATGTTCTTTATATAACAATTAATTATACTACTATTTGCGTAACATAAATATAATAATCCAATATATACGCACTTACCTTTTAATACAGTCTTGTGATTAATATAATATAAACTAATTGGAATGGGAAAAGATAAGCATGAAAGAAATAAATAGTACCCACATAAATTAATTTTCTATATTTATATGTTATTTCTCTTGTGATGCATTTTTAATTCTACCCCATAGACGCCGATGAGATCGGATGCTGAAAGAAATAGAAGTCCAATGAGGACACCGACTGTTCAGTACGAGCAATGCTGCCAAGGACGAGCCACCGCCATTTACATCGACAAGGTTTCCAGATTCTTCTTCCCTTTCTCATTCTTCATCCTTAACGTCGTTTATTGGAGCACCTTCCTGTAATATAACTTGACGAGATCTACCCGACTCAGCCGGAGTCTCAAATGTATTTTTATAGATATCGAATTTGGGAAAGTATACAATATACACATACATATACATATGTATTTCATACGCAGTAATAAACTTATTAAAACGAGCTAATGAAAATTGTATGCTATAACTTATCATGTGTAAAAAAAACGCAGTAGCAAATAAATGTAATAAAAATGAAATTAAATTTGCACATTTATTGTGAAGATATATTTAATAAATTATGATAAATTAGATTAAGCCTTTATACAAATTATAAAGTACAGTCAACTTTTATAACAAGTCATAAAATATTGCAAAATAGTTACGTATAAGGTACTTTGAAAATATATTATTCTATTTTTTTAAATATTGACTAATTAAATTTTTTTCATTATAATACAATTTAAAAAGCATGTTGTCTCTAAAATTTATAATTAATCTGTGCCATATATACATAGATTGTGACTGTGATTATTATTTAATATATGTGCTATTGTATCATTAATTTTTTGTCAAACATCATAGTTTATCGTATAAAAAGTTCATTAAAATAATGTGAATTTGCATAAAAAAACATCGTGCGGTAATTTAATCTGTATACCAATAATATCATATAATGCTTATACTATATATGTATGTTATAATATTGTAATCAACTAATTAATGTACACATACACATACAAGAATTACCTGTTTTTTGCACTTATTCACATAATGTTAAAATAAAGAAGAAAACACACGTCTAAATTAAAGAAGATTAATTTATATATTAATTTATAATAATATATATTTATGGCATTCTATATTCCTGGCCATAATATAAAACAAAATACATAAGTATAAATGACGATTAAACCTAAATTGCAATATTATAATATAAAAATAATATAACAAGTTTAATTTCTACTAAAATTCATAAACATATTTTTATTAAAATTTCAATTGGAATAAAAAATATTTGATTAATAATAAAACAGAGAATTTTAGATATAATTCTAGATATATAAAAAATCTTTGAAGAAATTTAATAAAAAATTATTGGGAAAAAAGAAGAATGAGAATATGAAAAAAATTAATTTAACTGATTTTTATACAATATGTATAATTATATAATTAGTAAAATATATTATTCTAAAATTATTGATAATATGCTAAATTATTATCAAAAATATCACAAACATTATTTAGTTATTCTGTCCAACAGCACTAAATCTCTTGTAAGATAATGGAGCGCATTGTCTGACACATTACGGAGTATTACCACTGTGGCAGATCATTATCGCCTGGTACACTAATAAATTGAGCATTTACATCTGTGTTTCTCAACCTACAATGCAAGATGTGTAGTGTGCTCTACACACACAAATAATTTAAATAAGTTTAAAATGTTTATAATATAAATATAACTTTGTTAAAAAATACAAATAGATTTAAATAAAGATTTGAAGAAACTGATAAATAAAAAAACCTATATCAAAAGGAACACCTATATATAAATGTAAATAAACTTTAATAATATATTCCTAAGGTTGTTAGATAATATATTTTATATTTAAAAATATAAAATATAAATGTAATAAATTACACAAATTTAATAATTAAGAAAGCTGAGAATTTTAGGAAATACATATATTTGATAAAGATGTATTATCCAAAGTTATGGATCATATATTTACTTCTTCATACTGTAATTTTTATTAATAAATATAAGAATAGAATGATTATTATATTATCTAAGTACCTTTTGATTATATTACCCACTCTTTTCATTATTTAAATTTCGGGTCATCCTTGCACAAGCGTTTTTTGGTCGAAGGTCTACAATGATTGTAAATTTAACAACAGATTCTTAGCGCAGATCAATACTGCAATATAAAGCTAAGATGCGATAAAACAGATGAAATCAAGCGCAGATATAAAATTCATAACATATGTATTCGATAGTAGCAATTAAATAAAAAATAACTATCAATATAAATATAATGTTTATATAATCAATATAAATATAATGTAAATATAATTTGTTTAAATAATTTAAATAAATAAAATTATATTGTTTTTGCTGTAATTTTTATATTTTTCCTTGACATTTTAGTTATTATTTACGATATTATATTCATATAGTAAACAGCAACAACTCTCAAATCTTAAATATCGTTTTCAAATAAATAATTAAATCTAATTAAATATAAACGTTCTAAATATAACTTTTAAACATAATAAAATAAGATAAAATCGGAAATTCTGCCTTTCCTTTTTTAAGCAACCTTTAAAAGTGTAAGTGAATATGTGTATCACAAATCAGAATTTTTATTGTTCTGCTAATTTTATTTCTAATCTTTATAAAAAGTAAATAATTCTCTCCATAAATAATATTTTAACGATCTTGCTGATATAAACAGCGTTATGTGGTATTGTAAAGAATTATATTTTCCTAATCATTGTATGTAGTTTTCTATAATCAATAACTATTAATTCTATTATCTAGATATTCTAGAAGATATGAAATAGCAGTTTTATTGTTTTTATTAATTTAGGGTTACGTAATTGAATTTCATATTATTTCTTAAATAAATTAACCTAATGAAGCAATGAAACAAAGTTTTTCTTTCTTTCTCACGTCTCGATCTTTAAGTGGGAATATTTCTTCTATTAATAAATGTGAATATAATTCAGAACTCTTGGCAAATAATATTATTATAATTAGATAAAATCTATTAAATAGATAATTAGTTGAAACTTTCAGAACAATTCGTGCAATAAAATTTAATTATGCTACATCAAAAGTGTTTTAATGCAAAAGTATTCTAATCAAGACATCAAAGATTGCTTAAATAAAAATAGATAAAAATTTCGTAGATTTACATGAGATTATTTAACTTGATTTCTTTATTCTAATTATTTGATATTTTTCTTCTAATAAAATATTTATAAGATTCTCCAGATTGCAATATCAATACAATTAATGTAATATAAAATAACAGTTTATATAATCATTTAATTCCGTGAAAAAAAGTATAGAAGTAAAATTTTTCAATTTAGTTTCTTGAAATAAATTTCGGCGTCTCTTATGAATTTCTCTTACGAATTCATAAAGTTTATCACAGGTAACACAAATGCCTTTGATATATCATGAGGACATATGGTAAGGATTGAATTCAATATGCCCTTTTAATCGCTCTTTTAATTGCAGCAGTTAGCAGCACCAGAGAAACATCAATTCTTATCATCCAGCAATTGCTCCACAAAGCGCAATTAATTGAAAGGAGCCGCACTCGCACCGCGAATAATTACTACATTCACATAAGAAGTCATAATTGTCATCTGCTGCTGTGGATCATTTCTCGTCGTACATCGCGTCCTAAAATAATGTATTCACATCAACTCTTTATCTTCATCTTGTTCTATTGATCTAATGCTTTCTTCACAAAATTCGTCGTTATCGTGAGAAGATAATTTCGCCATGGACTGTTATTTGCGCGTGACACATGTCACGAGCGTATCGTGCTTAATTAGCCGTTATGATTAATACAATTGCCTATCTATTAACCGGTAACTGTATATATTTGCTCGATATTAATTTATTGTTATTAGAATAAAAATACCGTACGCGATTTACTTTGATTTTTATATTTAATAAGATAAATTAAACTGGCAATAACTGTTTTAAACGTATAAATTTAAAAAATTTGGAATATTCTTAAAATTAAATATTATGGTATGTATTTTTGAATTAAATGTATACTAAGAAAAATTTATTTTAAAACCTCATATTTTTAATCAGAAAAGTTCTACAAAAAAATTCTTCTTTCTTTGATTGAAAATTAAATTTAAAAAATTTATTTTTTTAAATTAACATTATATAATAACTATATAATAACCATTTAAAAATCATTAAAAAATTCGCTACAAAATCCAATCGAGGTAATATAAATTGCATTCTGATACTGCAGATCGTATTTTGCTCTTGACAACCGTTTTACAAACGTTCATAAAAATATTGCGAATAAAGGGATAAAAGTTATCACTCGATTTAAAAGCCAAATGCAATCTAATATGACTGCATCCACGCGAAATTTAAATACGAATGCATCGGGCACTCGCACTGATTTGTGTACTTTCAATGACGATCGAATCAGTGGGCACGTTACTTAATGATCTATCGTAGTCGTGTTCGCCATGGCTGTTAACGAGATCCCTTCATTTGCGTAATTAACTATCGACTTTCTGTCGCCAGCGCAGTTAACGAGCGCCCCACCCGATCATTAATGGATTCAAGATAACGTAGGTGAATTCTAAGGAGAAGCGGCTAAACAATTATTATACTTGGTGCAAATTGCTGATCACTCTTAATATAGTCAGTTACATACAAGTTAATCTTCAAAAATATGATAAAAAAAACTGAATGTAAATAAAAAAATTACTAAAATATTTTAAACTATTTTGCACTATTATGATTTATTACAAATATTCATTAAAACAACAGAATTGTTTAGTAAAATGAATTGTTTAGTAAACTATATTTATATTTATATTTAGATATAATTTTAAATATAATAAAAAAAAAGAATAATATATAACATTAAAACTTTTTTTACATATAAATATGTGAATTATTAAATATAAGTTTAATTGTTTATGTTCAAAGTTTAATCTTTTCAATTATTTTATTGATAATGTTAAATCTAATGCGATAACAAAGATAATTTTTAAAGAATTTATAACTTATTTTTAACTTCTAATACTTCAGCCACTTTTAATCAAAGAATAACTATTAGTACAAAGAAACAATAATATAAGATACAACGAGCTATTTTATTGTCTACTACTTGCGAAGTTATATGTATATGTATAATGAAATAGTTAAAAAACTTCTAATCATGCCATTTTGTTATTAAATCATTTATAGATTATTCATAGATCATTTTAATCCTCGCTATTTACAATTTCTATATGCAAATTATTTTAATATTTTTTACTAATTTCTAAATTTTCATAAGACTGAATATAACTTGAAATATAAAATATAAAATACAAATGTTTTAAGTTATTTATTGTACATGAATATAAGAAAGTCCTGTACTTAA